AGCCTGGTGATGGGTATTAAGGAGGGCACGTACTGCATGGAGCACTGGGTGTTATACGAAAACAATGGATCGTGGATCACCACATCAAAAACCAATGATGTATTGTATGGTGACTAACATAACATAATAAAATTAAAAAAAAAAAGATGACCAATTAGTTAAAAAGAAACAAAATGCTTAAAATCCATTTACCTTAAAAGGCAAGTTTAGGTTTAGAAAGGAATTTAAAAACAGCCAACTGAGTTACCACACATGATCCCAATTTGGGCAGTTTTGATGATAGCGTTTAAATATTACATTTGAAATTATTAACTTTGGTAACTTAAGTGTCCAAAAGAATTCATTAGAGCCACCTTTAAAACACTATGCTACCATTATTCAGAACAATCGATCACTCATTGTATAAATGATATGAAACTATTTACTTTAAAATAACTTAAGAGGAAATTTTGACTTATTCTTCATGGTCATCTTATTTTTTTTTCATTTATATGACAGAGCCCTTTATGCCAAGGAATTTGAAAAATGATAAAAGGTTTAAATCCTGACAAACATTTCAGTCCTTAAGGAAATCTGGCTATTTTCAGATTTGGATATAGTTCCAATTACAATGCAGTTCCATTCCTTGCACTCTAACAGCACACACAAGTCTTCAGTTAAGTACTGTCAGTGTTATAAATAGAATCTCATACGATGTTTAGTCTATTCCCAGCCGCTGACAGTTGAAGTTTAAAATTACATGCATTTATTGTTGGGTAAAGATTTTTTTTTAATGAGGAAAAAAAACCCAAACTATCCAAACTACTTACAAGCTGGTGTTGAGCAATCCCTGGTGTTGTGATAGAGTCGATGGAAATGTTTGCTACATTCAGCTGAAAATGTGACTGGCCCTATTAGACAGGAAAAGAACGTTTATGATAAATATTGGCGTATTTTCCAAACAAATTTGCTAGCACTTTATGGATGGAACTAATACAACTGTAACTTAACGTCCTTCCATGCCCTTAAAAGAACTTATCTGACTCCTTACCCTAGTTCTGTAGGATTGGTAAGTTGTAATCTGTGAAAAATCATCTGAATTCATTACCAATTCTCACCATTTCACATAATGGAAACTTCAGTTTCTGAAGAACTCTTTAGAATAATTATGAGGGGGAAAGCTCTAGACAGAAAAAAAAAATTGTACAAACAAAACCAAGTAGGTGTGAAGAATAAAAAATAAATATCCTTGGTTCCCACTTTCTGTTCTTCAGTTTTAGGATTCTTCACAATATGACTCCAACCTGCATTTCCAGGCATACTTTTGTCCAGTGGCCACATACACCCTTACCTAAACATACCCCACAGTGCATCCACACCATCTACCTGTCATGCCCCCAAACTACCATGTTCTCGAAGAATTCCTTCTGACCAGAATGCTTCTCTTATCCAGGAAAATACTATTCATCCCTTAGAGCCCAACTTAAATATCATGTCTACTACAAGCCTTTCCTGGTAGTTTTTGGCAAAATTATTCACTTTCTGTGCATCCCTAAAACTATATTGACACTTCTATTATTTACCAAGATCTGGTTTATATTACTATTAATACAAGTTAATGGCATTTGTCCACTTTCCTAACTGGACTGTTGAGCTTCTTACAGACACTTACCTTCATATCCCTAATGCCTAACACAGTAATTTGCATACAATCTTTTTATTTAATTGAATCACTGATAAATTTTGTGCTTACCTGTGAAATGCTTTATGAATTTGTCTTTTAAATTCAAATCTCTTGGGAATATTTCTGAAAAGAAAAAAAAAACTTTAGAATTTCTTGGATGCATTTCCACCATTAAAAATAGAATTTCTTGGATACATTTCCACCATTAAAAATATCCTTATAAATAGTCTATAATGACAACCACCTAACACATGAACTCATGGCAGTTCATGCAGCTGATTCCAAATCTGTATCTCTGGCCCTGAGCATTCCCTGGGGCTCCAGGCCTCCCCCAGACCTACCTGCTTGCTCTACCATTCTAATCGGGAAACTTATAGACCTCTCAAAAGTGAATAGCCAGAACTGAACATCTGATTTCCCCAATACCCCAGACCTGTCTTCCCCCCATGTTCCCTGGTCTCATACACGGCATCACTCTTTACCCTTTGCTCAAGCCAGATGTCAAGAAGGTATGCTTGACTTTCCTCTTTCCCTCTCTACTATGTAAACTTCATTATTTAATTTTATATATTCCAACTCCAGAAATTACCCAAGACTCATATATTTAAATAAGTGAAAATAAAAAATTGAACTACATCTTACACTTCACTTTGTACTCACTATAAGTACACCATCAATGAGGGGTAAGAGCGCTTCCTTGCATAGGGAGCTCCCTGCTCCTAGCAGCCCAGTTGTGAGTCCAGAGCAGCACTATAGGGCTATAGAAGTGCAGCTAGATTGGAGCTCCCCTTCCACTGACAACAAACATCTGCACTTATGAACCATCCAAACTAATCCAGAAAAACAAAGCAACAGTGAAGATATAAGTATTTCTTTATATAAATATTTTGGTGTTCTCATTAATTACATTCCAGCCTGAACATGGATCTTTCCCCCATACCTCTCTGAAACCAAGCATGGCAAATTGGCTCCTGGGATGTCAATACTCCACAGTTTATCTGGCAAGGTAGCTCCTCTGGCCCTTTCTGAAAGCTGAGTCAGTTGAGTGCAGTTGGAGTTCTATGGTTAAAGCGTATTCGAAGTCTATAAATAATTCTAGTTCCAAAAGCATTTTCAACTATGATTTTTTTAACATTTTAAATTTAAGTTCAATTAATTAACATATAATGTATTTTTGGTTTCATAGTAGATTTCAGTGATTCATCAGTCTTATATGATACCCAGTGCTCATTCTATCACTGCCCTTCTTAATGTCCATCACCCAGTTACCCCATCCGTCCACCCCTCTCCCCTCCAGTAACCCTCAGTTGATTTCCTATGATTAAGAGTCTTTTATGGTTTGTCTCCCTCTCTGGTTTCATCTTGTTTTATATTTTCCTCTCTTCCCCTATGATCCTCTGTTTTGTTTCTTAAATTCCACATATCAGTGAGATCATATGATAATTTTATTTCTCTGATGATTTTAATCTGTAGACCTGGGCACAATGATGACACTCAGGATGATACTCCTCTTCTACACTCCCATAGCACATTTTCTAACTTCTATAAAGGCAATTGTCACATTATGATTAGCATGATAGTGAACTGTGCACGAGTCTGTCTCCACCACAATATTGTGGCTTCTTGAGGAAGGGGACAATGTCTTGTTCATCACCTGTAGGGTGTACAACAGTGCTTTACAGATGGGTCATCTGACAAATGTTTAAGGAATTAAAAGCTGAGAGGATGATCCTTCAAGTAGGTTGTTACCTTTCAAATGAAAACAATCAATGCCTTGCTTGAGCTCAGTATAGGCCACTAGGAAAACCATACTTTTAATACACTTGAATTTTCATTTCCAAGTACAAACACAGTGTAAGAACATAAAGCAGATTGACTTAAATGAAACAGAAAAGTGATATTTAAGTTGACACCTAAAGTGATAAGCAAGAGATATCTAGGTAAGAAGAGATGGGAACAGCACCCTAGACCAAAAGAAAGAAAAAAGAAAGAAGAAAGAAAGAAAGAGAGAGAGAAAAAGAGAAAGAAAGAAAGAAAGAAAGAAAGAAAGAAAGAAAGAAAGAAAGAAAGAAAGAAAGAAAGAAAGAAAGAAAAAGAAAATCTCTGAAGAGGAAAAGGTCACACTGTGTTCAAGTATTTGAGAACTGTCCAGGATGGCTAAAAGAGAAAGAAGGTGAGGGAAAGAAAAGTCAGCTAAAGCAGCAGACAAAGGCACCTGGGTGGCTCAATTGGTTAAGTGTCTGCCTTAGGCTCAGGTCATGATCCCAGGGTCCTGGGATTGAGTCCTGCTTTGGGCTCCCTGCTCAGCAGGGAGTCTGCTTCTCCTTCTCCTTCTACCCCTCCTCCCCTGCTCATGCTTGTGCTCTCACTTTCTCTCTTAAATAAATAAATAAATAAATAAATAAGCAGGCAAGCAGCAGACATAGATGACATTATAGTCCTTTATAAACTTTGTCCTTAATTCTATGTGTGGTGGGAAGTCAAAGAATTAGGCAAGGGATGACACAGTCAAGATTCACTTTTAAAAAATCATAAAGCCCAGTATGGAGAATCAAGAATAGATGGAGAAAGATAAGTCAAAAGGTTTAAAGATAGGCTATTGTATTTCTAATGAATAGCACTAGCTTCAGAAGTCAAATTCTGCTCTATGGCTGTTTTTGCAAATAAAGTTTTACTGGAACACAGCCATGCTCATTTGTTCACAAGTGGTCTATGCCTGCTTTCGTGTTATAATGCAAAGTTGAGTGGTTGTTGCAGAGATTAGAGAGCCCACAAAACCCAAAATATTTACTATCTGGCCCTTTCTAGAAAAAGTTTGCCAATGCCTGCTTGGTAGCACACTCCTATTTGTATTAAAACTGTAATGGTGATTGCGGAAAGGCTCCAAGAAGTAGGATTCTGGGGGTGGGAGAGAAGAGGTAGTAGTTTTCAATGCATACTCATTATTAATTTTAATTTTGAACATAAATCTGTATCACTTTTTCAATAAAAAATTAGTTGATTGAAACTGAATTTGTATTTAGTGTTAGATGCACCTGTGATAGTTTTTGATCAACAAAATATTACTTGAGAAATCGAATATAAGAGAATTACCCCCACACAAGATTAGCTGATTGATCTTTGATGGAAAATGGTCTTAAAAAGCAATCTTCATTATAGAAATATAAGTCACATATGTAATTTCAAGGTTTTTAGTAGCCACATTTTAAAAAGTAAAAAGGAATAGGTAAAATGTATTTAATAATTTATTTTGCTTAACCGAATATATTCTAAATGTTATCATTTCAACACATATTCCATACTTTAAAACTATTAAGACATTTTACATTTTTTTATACTAAGTTTTCAAAATCCAAAATGTATTTAACAATTATAGCACATCTCAACTTGGACTAGCCACATTGTGAGTGCTCAATAGCCACATGCATTGGGTGGCTACCATGTTGGACAGCACAAGCCTCAAAAGCATGCTTCATTCTTTTGGTATCTAACTACAAGGTATAAAAGATTACATATACAGATGGATTAAAAACAAAAGGATCTCCCCATAATGCGTGACAAGTATCCCAAAACTACTATCTCATTCATCTAATTTGTGAAAAGTTCTAGTTTTTATTTAACCAAAACAGTTGCCAACTGCCACCATCATCAGTTTTAAGTTTACAATAATATTTTTATGAAGAAATAGATAAGTATATACATATATGTATATAAATGCTGACAGGCTTATCTCTTGTTCCTACTTTTCTTGTTCAAAATGAGCAGAGATCATGCTCACCTCTGCAGCACATATATTAAAATTGGAACAATACAGAGAAGATTAGCATGGCCCTTGTGCAAGGATGACATGCAAATTCATGAAGTGTTCCATATTTTTAGTCAGTCAGAGAAAGACAAGTACCATATGATTTCACTCATATGTGGAATTTAAGAAACATAACAAATAAGCAAAGAGGAAAAAAGAAAGAGAGAGAGGCAAACCAAGAAACAGACTCTTGAGAACAAACTGATGGTTAACAGAGCGGAGGGGGTAGGGGACTGGATGAAGTAGGTGATGAATATTAAGGAGTGCACTTGCTGTGAAGAGCATGGGGTGATGTATGGAAGTGTTGAATCACTACATTGCACACTTGAAACTATTATTACACTGTATATTAACTAACTGTAATTTTTTTAGAAATATATTATTTATTTAGCATATTGAGGACTACAAAAGGAGTAAGTATATATATATTTTTTTTTGACAGTCTGACCACTTTTTTTTTGCATCCTTTTTTAAATTTGAATTCAATTAATTAATATATAATGTATTATTAGTTTCAGAGGTAGAGTTCAATGATTCAACAGTCTTATATAATACCCAGTGCTCATTATATCACATGCCCTCCTTAATGCCCATCACCCAATTACCCCATCTCCTCACCCCACCCCCTCCAGTAACCCTGTATGTTTCCTATGATTAAGAGTCTCTCTCTTTTTTTTAAGATTTTATTTATTTATTTGAGAGAGAGAAGGAGAAAGAGAGAGAACATGGGAGGGGGGAGGGTCAGAAAGAGAAGCAGGCCCCCCACCGAACAAGGGACTCGATCCCAGGACTCCAGGATTATGACCTGAGCCAAAGGCAGTCGCCCAACCAACTAACCACCCAGGTGTCCCTGATTAAGAGTCTCTTACGGTTTGTCTCCCTCTCCAATTTCGTCTTTATTTTTCCCTCCCTTCTCCTACGGTCCTGTTTTTTCCTTAAATTCCACATATGAGTGAGATCACATGATAATTGTCTTTCTCTGATTGACTTATTTCGCTTAGCATAATACCCTCTAGTTCCACAATGAGATACCACTTCACACAGGTCAGAATGGCTAAAATGAACAAGTCAGGAAACAACAGATGTTGGCAAGGATGCAGAGAAAGAGGAACCCTCCTACATGGTTGGTGGGAATGCGAGCTTGTGCAGCTACTCTGGAAAACAGTATGGAGATTCCTCAAAAAGTTAAAAATAGAGCTACCCTATGAACTAACTGGAATTTAAATTAAAATTTTTTTTAAATGAGCAGGGATTATGTGGAATAATAAAAAAAGTCATAAGACAGAACAACTAGAAAACAAAATAATAGAAAATGTTT